TCCCTGCAAACATAGGGCTTCTCCCCTGAGTGTGTCCTCTGGTGTGTGATGAGACTTGGCTTATCACGGAAGCCTCACCCACAGTCCCCGCAAACATGAGGCTTCTCCCCTGAGTGTACCTTCTGGTGTCTGATGTGACTTGATTTTCATGTAAAGTTTTGCCCACACTGCATACAAACATAGGGTTTCTCCCCTGAGTGTGTCTTCCAGTGTCTGATGAGAATTTTGCTTTCACTGAAGCCTCGCCCACACTGCGTGCAAACATAGGGCTTCTCCCCTGAGTGTGTCCTCTGGTGTGTGATGAGACTTGGCTTACTATGGAAGCCTCGCCCACAGTCCCCACAAACATGAGGCTTCTCCCTTGACTGCATCTTCTGCTGTCTGATGCAACTTGATTTTCGTGTAAAGTTTTGCCCACACTGCGTACAAACATAGGATTTCTCCCCTGAGTGTGCCCTCTGGTGTGTGATGAGATGTGACATTTGATTGAAGCCTCGCTCACAGTCACTGCAAACATAGGGTTTCTCCCCTGAGTGTGTCCTCTGGTGTGTGATGAGATGTGACTTTTGATTGAAGCCTCGCCCACACTCCCCGCAAATGTAGGGTTTCTCCCCTGAGTGTGTCCTCTTGTGTCTGAGGAGATCTGAGTTTACACTCAAGCCTCGCCCACACTCCCCGTAAACATAGGGTTTCTCCCCTGAGTGTGTCCCCTGGTGCTGAATGAGATGTGACCCATCACGAAAGCCTTGCTTGACATTTACAGCTCTTGATATTTCTACTCCCACAGATAATTTGCCTGTGTCCTCTGGGTTCACCTTCTGGCCTGTGCTGGGCTCTCCCTCCATCATTCTCTCACGCTCCCTGCAGCCCCCCATTTGTCCATTGGGTGGTTCGGAAAAGGCCCTTGGAATCCTCCTCTGCCTGATCACTTTAAGCAAAGGTTTGCACCTTTCTTTGACCTCTTGACCTTCAGCTTTGTCATTCCAGCTGTGAGGGACGGTCTCTTGCTGCTGCTGACTCAGATCCTCTGGGCAGGGTTCCTCTGATTTTAGGTGTTTTCTGCTGATGTTCCTGGAAGGACCTGAGAGGGGTGACTGCAGCCCACATGCTGGCTGAGGAGTTTCTGACTGGAAAAGGCCACAGAGCAGGAGAAACAGGGATGGATCTTTGGTTTTGTTCCTGCCAAAAGAGAAAGTTTGAGTCAGGGCAGGTGTTGACAAGGCTGCCTGGGCCGTATGCTCTGTGTCCTGCTGACACCAGGCCCACTGCTCATTCTCCGTGTGTTGATAAGACAAGCTCTGTCTCCCACAAAATGTTGCTTTACAGTCTACTTTTTCATCCCATTTTTTATGCACTACATCTTCAGAAATCCAGAAAGCCCCTATCAAGGGCCTTTTCTACACACTGCCCAGAGTAGGGACTTTCAAGAAGCATCAGAGGCAGTTTCAGTCCTTATATAGATGGCACTGCAGTGACCTTTCCCCATAGACTTCTCTTGTAAGTCACATTAAAGAGAAAAACCACAGGCCCCAAACAGTGCCACTCATGCTAAAAGCCCATGAAGCCAAACCTAGATTTAATACCTGATCTAACTGCAGTCTCAGCCTCTCCCAGACACCGTCTTCATCAACCATTCTGGAGTTTTCTGGTCAATACCAGTAAAGGTTGTCTGTGAACCCTCCCCCTCCCTCCCCATAGAAAGAAGAGGCAATCTGCCTGATAAAAACTCTTCCCCCAAAGATGTCTCCACTCACACATAATCCTTTCTTTTGTTAACTCCCTTGCCCACCCTTCTTCATATAAAAACCATCCATCTTGTACAATCCTTTGGGGTGCCCTGGTAGTTGCTACACAGGTTTCTGCTGACTCATGAATAAAGCCCATTAGAACCTCAAATGTACTTGTCTGAATTTATTCTTTTAAAAAGCGTATCACATGACACAGTGTCAGCAGCTATTTTACTCTGTTGAGAGCTGAGAACACTCTTGATGACTTAGGTGGAATTGGCCTCAGTGACGTCCTACATGGGGAAGGGATCTGTGGAGTCAGGAGACACCCAGCCTGGGGACCGACAAATGTGGAGGGAGGATAGAGTCATCGTTACAGGGACCATCTGCGTAGCCCTGAATCTGAGTCTCCCATTCAAAAAGGTGTTTGACTGAGGACCCCTATGGGCCTGGGTCTCCTTCGGGAAGTGGGACTCAGACTGGACAAGACAAAGTGCCTAGGTCCCATTGACTGTAAACGGATATTAATCTGAAATGCAGCTGGGGGATAAAAAAATGAGGACAAAAATAAAAAATATCAAAATTGTTCCTAAGAATCAAAGGTGTATGAAATGAATCCTTCATTTCCGAAGCATCTGATTTGAAATTCTACTGACTTTAGACTGGATTGTACCCTACGAGTTGGGCAAGGGGCCTTTCCAAGAACCCTTTCTTTTCTTGCCATTTTGAAAAAGAGCCAAGCTGCCCACCTGTCCTTTCCCTGAGCTTTTGCTTCCAATTTCGGCCCAAATTGATGCCCAGCTGGTGGCCATACTCGTCCCCGTACCAGACCAGCATTTCAAAGCCCGGCCTGACGACCTGGCAGGTTCGGTAGAAAATCTGCCTATGATACTGATATGCCACCAGGTTCTGCTCTTCGTCATCCCAAGCACAGTTCACATACTTGGGATTGAGACAGGCGAAAGGAAGGAAAACCACCGGTGATAAGTTCCCACTACATGTCAGATGCATGCCAAGCTCCCCTGCTGATACTGAAAGCCTTCAGGCTCTGATGTTGCCCACTGCCCCGTGAACTTCACTCCTGGGGGATGCTCTGTCCGCATCTAAGCCCCTCTCACAATGTCCTATGGACTCCTGCGTCCAGTTGCTGACTAGAAGGCTTCCCCCTGCCCTCAGCGGTCTCTGTCACAGCACAGTAAGACAGGACAATAAAGCTCATTCACATTCTGTACCCCCCGATAAAAGAGAGCCCCTCAAGGAAAGGGGCTGGGTCGTGAGGCCAAGGGGCCCATGGCCAGCCTGTGACTCATTCGTGCTCTGCAGGCTTCAGGACCCAGGTCTGCTTATAACCGTGGCTAGGGTGCTTTGTTTCCTCACAGATCAAAGGTTCCTTGTTTTAGGCTATCCTGGCACCGTGACCTTCTCAAAAATGGGAAAATTATAGTTAAATATTGGTAACATCAATTGTTTTATGTCTGCCTGCAGTAAGTTGTCCCTAAGGACCAGGGTTGTGTGATCTGTGTAAGTAATGAATCCCACTGTCTATATAAGTGTTCATTAGATAAATTAAAAGTGTGAATCCATTTTCCCAGTGAATCTAATCTCCTCAAGGTTTTTTCCAGGGCCCAAAGTTTGTCTAGCATAGAGACATACATTTTGAGGACATGTGCTATATTTTATCTCCTTTTTTCCTAAAGTCTCTTGGTACGAAAGAGTGCTGTGTGGAGGAAAAAGAGGAACAGGGGGTTGTGGAGGACCACTGAGGGAGGCTTGATGAGAAGGGGAGGACTAGGGGCTTGTGGTCAATGAGTGTCCTGTCTAGAACCCAGGGAATCTCCGGCCTTACCTCATCCAGTTGGCCTGGGATTTGTCCTTTCCATCCCCATACTCAGAGCAGTTTCTCCCTTTGGTGATCTGAGGTTCAGGAAATGAAGTTAAAGACTTTGTTTGGGAGGAGAGGTAATAGAATAATCATCCCACCCTACTGTCACCCAGGCGCTTTCAGCCTGCATGGATCCCACTGTCAGCTATGACCACATGATGTGCGTCTCGCTCACCATCTACATGCCTGAGTCCACCTGTCCACTCAGGAGGAGCCCCACACGGAGGAAGTGCTCCGCTGTGTCTGCACCACTCTTCTCCCACTTACCCTCCTGTTTTCAGATGGGAGCGCCATGTTCACGCAAATTGCACTCAGCACACAGAACTAAATATATCGTCCTCATGCACGTCCCAGCATGTAGGTGGGGGCCCTCTACCTACAGGGTACAGGGGACAAGGGACAGGTGGATGCTTCACACCAGCCAGGAGTATCCGCTGTTGGCTGCCTCTTCATCTTCTGTGATATGGCCCTCGTAGAGGTCAAAGTTCAGACCCAGCGGCAAATCAGACACCTCGTTCCACACTCCAAGCCCAGCCTCAGGGATGCCTGAGGGTCTGATTCTCAGCCCAGGGGGCAGAGTGAGGACTGAGTGGTTGGGGTGCCCCTTGTCCACTGCACAGTCTTTTACAAATGTAGGGGGCCCATTAGTAGCACAGCTGTCAATGAAGAAGTTCTGACACATCTCGCAATCTGGAGGTGAGAGCAACAGGGGTTAGGGAAGGTGTGGTGCGTGTTCCTGAACATAGAGAGCTTCAGAGACAGCCTGGGCAGTCACATCACTGAGCCTCAATCCTGTACTCCAGGCCACGAGAGGAAGGGGATGACGTGGGGACCTCATGACCATTCGAATCTATTGTACCAAGACGTAACAGCCTTGTTTGTGAGGGTCACTTACACAGGTAGTCATGGTCCTCGGGCTCGCTCACCTCTTGGTAAGTACAGCCTCTTCTTTCCCACAGGATGTACATCTTCACTTCAATCTTCTTTCTCCTGAGTCCTAAGTTGGGCAAGAGTGGGTGAGCGAGGTGGGCTCTAGAGTGTTAGTCCCTGTTTTGCCAGAAAACACAAAATCTCCCCCTATCAAATTATCACCTGTCTTTCTGTGTACTCTGTTCTTCCTTCCTTAACTGTTGGTTCAGAGACTCAGACTCCACACTGACTACAGGTGGCTGATTCAATTTTAGTTTCTAACTCTTCCCATTATCAGATTTAACTTCCCAGCCTTTCAGTTTACAAAATGGTCCATTCACAAATCTACTCATTCAGAAAATATTTGTTGAGGGCACATTATGTGTTAGGCATTGAGCAAAGACCTGGGTATACAACACCAAGAAAGCATGTTCACTATTATCATAGATTGATTTACTGGAGAACTTGGATGTGTCAATTATTTTAAATGCAATTTAATGCTTCCAAACAATATATGAGCAAGGTATCCTTATCTTCATTTTACAGATTAGCATTCAGGAGCCCAGAGAATGTATAAGATTTGCCCAGAGCCCCAGTGCTAACCTCAGGTCTCAGCTTAGTCCACCTTAATCCCAAAGTCCACCCCACATACCTAGGCCATACTTATCAACCTTTCCAGAGGACTCTGAGGAACTAAAGTCCACAAATTATTTTCTCTTACCCAATTTTTGCCTAGAATGCTGTCCAGAGGTACTTACTTCTCCAGGAGGGGATGCTGGTTTTTGGGCCTGCTCTGAGCCACTTGCCAATTGTTCCTGACAATTCCTTCAAAGTAGGTTTGTTCCTTGATGGTGCCCTGGGTGTTGCCTTCAATGTGAGAGCCACATATAAAAAGATAACCTGTGTTTCCTTAATCCTTTAGGGCTTATGGTGTGTTTTCATAGGCATGGCTTTAATTAACAATTCAACCACCCTTGGAAGTTCCTGGGGAGTGTGAACAATAGATGGAACAAAAAGGGCCTATGTGGGCAGTGAGTCCAAGACGAGAACCCATGCCCTAAGTCTCTTGCCTTCCAACTTTCTCCGTAAGAGTGAGGGGGACAGGGGTTCAGGGGGGAGGGTTAGAACAAAGAAATGTTTGGGAGAAACCTATCCAGATAATAAAAAAATATGCTAAATTTGCATATTGCTCTATCTTGGAAAGAATATTTGTAATTCGATTAGCTGTTTGAATAAGGTTGTACCACACGCTAGTTCTCTTTAGTTTCCTGATCCATAACATGGTCATTGTTAATGTGCTAGTGACCATAACATGTAACAGTATTCACCAAAGTGTTTTCTGAGCCATTTAACACAATACACATGTGCGATTACAGTCCTGCTATCAATATACCCCTTCAGCTGTTTCCTTATTTGAAATCTAACTCACAGATACTATCTTCAGCATTCACTGTCCCTCACACTTCTAGTTTAATTTGTAAATGTTAAATTACTTTCAGAAAACAATAAGGTGGCCCTCAGGGTCCCTGGTCTGGGGCTGAGACATCTGAGAAGAATCAGGCATGGACCAGCTTCTCAAAGAGCCCGCAATGCAGAGAGAGGCATTGATTCCAAACAATTCCAAACCACATGATTAAGCTCAGAGAAAGAATCTGTTACTTCCTCCTACAGGAAAGAGCATTTGAAATCAGCTGCTAAGGGATGAGTGTCTGGAATAGTGACTGACCCATACAAAGTCTTTACAGAGGGATGAGTGTCTGTGGAATAGTGAGTGAACAACATGAAGTCCTGAAATTGTTTTATTATCTGTTGCTTCTCAGTCATCAACCCTGAGGGTTCTCAGGGACAGGATGTGTTTCCTTTAACTAGAGGGGGAGGCTCTGAGGCTGGGGTCCTCTATCCTCCCTCACCTGGGACCGTCCACTGCACAAATTGCCTGCATAGGAGAAAGCTTCCCTGAGTCAGAAGAGCTTTCAATACAGCATGGCAACTCTCAATGTAGCATGGCAGAAAGAACTGAGGTTGAGCTCATCAGGCAGATGAATGATGTAACCATGTATGAGACAGTGTAAACTTTATCAAACTATGAAAGCTCTAATGAGGTTGTAAGTGGTTTAGAGAAGGACCTTGGATTACATTGCACCACCCCTGACAATGTGATCTCAGACATATAATCAAACGTTTTTGTATCTCTGAATCCTCAGTTTCCTCATCTATAAATAGTTATACTATCTACCTCAGGATTGTTGTAAGTTTATTCATGTAAAATTCTTAAAATAAAGTCTGAAACATTGTGAAAATAAAACAAGTGGTAATACCTATTGTTGGTGGTGTTATTAACTAATAAAATGATGAAGATATTGACACTGGGTAGAAGAGATCAGAATAGAAAGTGAGCAGTCCCTAGAATACTCTGAAGTTCCTACTCTTACCTGAATTTGGATCCATAGGAAGATTTTCTTGTCAACAGGATTTGGAAAATACTCACCTTGTGGCGTTTACTCTGTTCCACTCGGAGGGCCACCTGAGAAGGTTTGACTGAAAGGTGATGAGAAAGCTGTTTTTTGGTTGGTAAATTTTTCCAAAATCTGGAGCTTCTTATTAGGGACGCAGAATTCTGAATCAGAGCGTGATAAGCACAAATCACTGGAAATGGTTTCTGAGGTATCATTAAGGCCTATGCTTCTATTGGGGGCATCAACTAGTTTTCTTAAAATGTTTAAAAATAGACAAACTTCATCTATGTTTCATCCTACATTCATAAGGTATCTGTTACATTTATTTAAAAAATAAATTGGCCTTTCATGACAAAAATACTCCACAAACTTGGAACAGAAGTAAATTACCTCAATATAAAGGTCAAATATGAAAAGTCCTCCTCTAACAGTGAAAAACTGAAAGCTGGGCCAGCCGAGTGGCGCATTGGTAAAGAACTGGCTTGGGATGCCAGAGGGCCCTGGTTCGGATCCCACATATAAGGGCCAGTGACACTGCTCTCTACCCCTAAGATGCTGAACAACAGTTCGACCTGGAACTGGGCTGCCGTGGGTCGCCGGCGATGGCATGGACTGCAGCCCTTGTGACAGTGGGTTGTCATGGGCTACTGTGTGTGGCCAGCAGACAGCGTGAGCAGCCGTCCAGAAGCCGTCAACTGATCTGCCTCGCCCAGGAAGTGTGCAATGATGGTGCCAGCTTGGACCAGTGAAGCAACGTCCTCCAGAACGAGACTGAAGAAAAAAACAACAGCAACTTGTCTGTTCCCCTTCCCCTGATTCCCCAATAAAAAAAATCTAAAAAAAAGAAAAAGAAAAAACTTAAAAAAAAGAAACATTGAAAGCTTTTTTCTCTAAGATCAAGAAGAAGTCAAGGAGGCCCACTCTTTCCTCTTCTACTAAGCACTGGGGAGGAGAGACTGTTCCATGAGATGACCGATGTCAGACCCTCATGCTATGTCCAGCAAGATGCAGGCCGGAACAGAGATTGCATCCCCCAGAGTCCCCAGAGACTATCTCATTGACCCCTCCACTATGCTGGTTCATGCTGATTCCTGGAACAGCCATTGCTCTTCCCGAAGCTAGCATGTAAGGATGTCCCTCTTATCTGGGGTGGTCACACTCCATACCCCCATCCACCTTGCCCTGTTCTGTATAACCCCTAAGCCCCTGCCAAACTTCACGGAGGGCATCCATGTTGTCTCGCTGCAACCCAAGACGTGCCTTGTGTGTAAGTTCCCTTAATAAACTCTTGATGTAATGATAGAGTTGTCAGCTTCTTTCTTTGATCTCTCGGCCCCAAGAAATTTTTTGTAATGTGCATAGCACTAGAAGTCCTAGCTAGAACATTAGAAAAATAAAGGAAACAAAAAGGCATCTAATTTGGAGAGCAAGAAGTAAAATTATTTCTGTTTGCAGATGATGGGATCTTATTTGTAGAAATTCCTAAAGATTCCACAAAAAACCCTGTTAGAACTAATAAATCAATTCAGCAAAGTTCCAGGATAGAAAATCAACACTCAAAAAGCAGTTGTATTTCAATGCAGAACAATAAACAATCCAAAAAGGATCTTAAGAAAATAACCCCTTCTATAATAGCATCAAAAAGAATTAAATAATTTAAAATAAACCTAACCAAGCACGTGAAAGACTCATGCACTGAAAACGATAAAACATTGATGAAATAAAATTAAAGAAGGCACAAGTAAATGGAAAGGCATTTCATGTTCATGGATCAGGAGACTTAATATTGTAGAGATGTATATACTACCTAAAACAACCTAAAGATTCAATGTATGTATGCAAAATGTCCAAAAAGTACAGAATTGTTATCAAAATTTATTTGAGACAGACAGAGTATATACCTGGAAGCAAGAACTCAACAGACTGAGAAAAATGCTTATCGGAATAAAAGTTTGCAGCTCTTTTTATGCATTTGGAATTAAGGAGGTATGTAAGATTACATGAAGGTGGGAGAAAGCAACATGGGGAGTGGATTACAGGATGGTTAATAATATTATGTGCTCTTTAAGGGCAGTTAAGCTTCAGAGGGTTCTGAAAAGAGGTATTTCAGAGGTGCGTTAACCTAGATGCACAGAAACAATGAGCAGGGCTTCTTAAGGCAAAGGTAAACTTTTTACTAAAAAATGTTATAGGCCTGGGGCCGGCCGAGTGGCTCAGGTAGTTAAGAATTCGCTTGGGAGCACCAGCTCTGAGCAGCAGGGCCCTGGTTGGGATCACACATGAGGGCCAGTGACACTGCCATCTGCAGCTAAGATGCTGAACAACAGATCAACCTGGAGCTGGGTTGCTGTGGGTCACCGGCAACGGCGTAGGGTACAGCCCCTGCTGCAGTGGGTTGCCATGGGCTACCGTGTGGAGCCAGCAGCCAGCGTGAGCAGCCAGCAGCCGCTGTGAGCAGCCATCCAGAAGTCAGCGACTGATCTGCCTCGCCCGAGAAGAGTGCAATGATGGTGCCAACTTGGGCCAGTGAAGCAACGTCCTCCAAAACTAGACTGAGAACAAAAGGACAGCAACTTGTCTGTTCCCCTCCCCCAATTTCCCAATAAAAATATTTTAAAAATATATATATGTGTGTGTGTGTGTGTGTCTCTCTCTATATATATAGATAGATAGATAGATAGATAGATAGATAGATAGATAGATCAAGGTACATGTAGAGCTGTCATTTTAAGGGTAGGGGCAGTGTTAGAGGTAGGCTTAGGGACAGGGTTAATGGTAAGTTTCTACTTAGTCAGGAAGGCTTCGTGTTGGGCTGAGATAAGGTTAGGGTGAGGGTTAGGGGTGACTGGGTAACAGGGTTGGGGTTCGGGTGGGAAACACTGTTAAGGTCAAGGCCGGGGACAGGATTAGGACTACTGTGAAGGAGAGGGTTAGGGATTTGTTTGGGGTTCAAAACAAGTGAAATTTAGGGTTAGGGACACCATTAGCCATAGAGTAGGAGAGAGGGTTTGGATTAATGTTCGAGACAGGTTCAGGTCCAACTTTAGGCTTTCTTACAGTTAGAGACAGGTTTACATTGAGAGACAAAGTTCAGGACAGAGTTAGGGTTCGATGGCGGGAGCGCTATAGGTTTAGTGAAGGAGTTAGGGTTAGATCTATGAACAGGGGTAGAGTTAGGGTTCAGGTATGGTGAGGGGTAGGGTGATTGACAGGGACAGTGTTAGGGTGAGGTTTAGAAACACCGTTATCCTTAGTGTTAGTAACAGAGTGATGGTTGGGTTTTGGCTTAGGGTGAAAACAAGGTTACCGTAAGGGTCACATAGAAGGCAAGGGTTAGTGTTAGAGACAGCGTTAGGTGAGGGTTAGGGAAAGGGTTAGGTTTCGAAATAGGGACAATGATTGGAGTAGTTT